ATTTTCAAACTAACTACCAATTAGTTCAGAATAGTAGTAATATAAAATTATTGCTAAGTAACAATAATTTTAACCATTGAGGACATTTTTAAGAAAAATAATGTATCATACCTTGATGGCAAGAAATCGGTTAGAAAATGTTGTGTCCACTAGCAAGTCCGAAAATATCCAGTTTATTTAAATACCAAAAAAAAAACAATTATATTTCGTCATCAAATGTTTACTTACCTTTTGTTAAATATATTATGACATAAACAAACAAAAATGTCAGAACTATTTTTTTTAAATGTTTAACTATTGTTACAGTTGAAATAATATAAAATGAATGTGATGTTTTATATTTGGTAATGTATGATATTAAAATAACAAATTATATAAAATAAAATTCGAAAAATTAACAGAGTATTATCAAAATTTCAAAAATTACCAGTTTTATTTGGAACTTAAGATTTAAGTCCCTCAACAGAATTATTATTTTTAAACCAAAACAAAATTAGGAATAACTAGAATATTTTTAATTTTAATATTTGGAATTATTTTAAAAATTGTTGTGAAGTTCTAAAAATTAACTTTTTAAAATTTTGTCTACCTATTTACTTTTTCTTTTTATAAAATAGTATTTATTAATGCTAATTAAATTCAAAATAAACACACAACTAAATCAAAAAATTACTTGTTTCGTAATGATCAGAAAACAAATTTTGAATTCTAGAGTTTGATAATGTGTAACTATGTATAAAGCTAGAATACTGAATAAACTGAAGCTGAACTAAAATCCGCTATATTGTGACAAATCGAATTTCATTGTATTCTATTTTAATAATATACAGTTATAATTCAAAAAATTTTTATTATGAAGCCATCATGCATGAGTATATAAATTATCTGCTTTTGCATTACGAATAAAAATAGTATACATATTTAACTCTCCATTCAAAAAATGCACTATGAGAAATAAAGAATGTGTTTTGCATTTTTTTTTCTTTGAACCGACACACACGCTTATCATCTTGACATAAATGAGTTTTATTATTTTACGAATATTTAATGTTAAACAATATATTTCGTTTTCTAAGCATGTTTTGAGTTATCCTTACTTTTTCCTTTTCTACAACGTCATTAGTTATTTTAACTTACCTTTTATATATCATTCTTCTTCTCCGCCTTTCTCCCAACTATTTAGGATCTGCCAACCTATTATATACCATTAAAAAATTAAATGTTGAAACTGTGTAATTCAAATAGTATAAATTCATCTTCAAATTTTCACGGTAATTCAAAATTATTGTAACCAATATCGTAAGAGTTTACGAGCATAGGAGTGAGTACGGAGGGAGGGGAGGGGGAGAATCATGGCCAACTCTATGAGCCGAGCTGTACTTCGAACTTACTACCTACTACTAGTTTATTTGCAATCGCGTCCATTACAAATTATATATTTTGTCATGATCACGTCTGTTCGTGATTTTTTCTAAATTTTGTTATTTGGCTGTTTATGTTATTATGTTTGTCACTGTATTCAATGCATTTTCTTATTTAACAATTATATTATTATTACTCTATGGTTGTAGCTGCCACGGAAATATAATGTATCAGTTTGTGTATTTTTTTTTACGATTTTATGTTCTTTAAATACGGGTGAGCTGCTAATAATCTGCTGATAATTGTTAGCAATATTAACAATGCCGTCTTTACAATAAGGACACGTGGGACACGGGCGGGGCCTCCAAACGAAGAAGGCTCCGAAAAATATAATCTTGTATAATATAATATCTTTATTGTCACAACCTATCTAAACTAAATATTTGAATGTTAGGCTTAAATAATAAGTTATAATTTAAAAATAATATTAAATAATTAACTCAAAATATAAATGCTATAAATACGACGATCACTTCTTTAGCGATAAATTTGAAATATGTTATATGTCAGATTCTAATTTACTAATTCTCGGTATATCTGCTGCGTACTTACCTACCATATTATCGCGAATGTGAAAAATATACGTGAGAAAAAATCGTTCCAAGTGGATAAAAAAGTATTTTAAAACACAAAACTTATTAATTATTAGTAGATATTATTAAATATTTGTAATTGGACGAGGACTTCCTGTTTAAAACTTTTCGCAAATGTTTAAAACAAATTTTATTTTCGTTATTAAAAATAATCGAGCCTGAAATTGTAAAACAGAATTCCAAATTTAGAGAAATGGTATCGTCAAATATAAAATTGTTAATAACACTTCGGTTTTTAACTATTTAAAGATTGTCGCGCTGATGCAATAGTATGCATTGAAATTATATTTAACTGCGCATATAAACGTTATGTTTTCTCAATCATAGTATTATTATTTTTATTATAATTTCATTCATTATTGCATTATAAATTAGGTGAAATCGGTGTACAACATGAGCAAATATTGGATTTTTAAGGAATCTCTGTTAGATCGTATAACTTTGTGTACTTAATTCGACATTTGCCAGTGTTCTTTGTTTTAGTATTGAAAATCATAGGTGGATTCCTGACATTTGTCTTATTTTCACTCGTAGCACTTTTTACATTGAGAGATTCGTTCAAAATAACGACTCGTGAACATACTTTTGACAGTTTTTTTCGTTGATTCTTAGATTTCTTAGTAGTTCTATTTTCAGATTGCTTAACATTAACATCAAGGGGAATTAATTTATTTTTCTAACGAGTTACCCGGCACATTAATAGCTTCTGAGATTGAAATAAAACATATAGTTTTATTGTTTATTTTATTAATACCTACGATTCGTATTTTGTCACAATCAATATCTTACTCATAGTAACGATATATACTCGTAGATACTCGTAGTAACGACAGGGGCAATTGGCTCCACCGACGATTTATCCAATACTTTCTTCTTTATAACTGTATAACAAGTGTTGACAAGCTCTGGTCTGTCAACAGTTTCTCCCCGTGTGCTTTTCTTGCATATAGGATGAACTCGATTTACAACACGCGTAAATATTGGACCTTTCCGGAATCTCTGTCAGATCATATAACTTAGTATACTTAATTCGATTTTTCCCTAATCTCCGTATTTTCGAGTTTAATCCCCTAGAATTAGTATTGGGATTCGTCTCATTTTTTTTTTAGCAGTATGTTCTACCAACGAGACATTCTCCATATTGAAACATATCGTGGATACCCGAAAATTATTTGATGTTTTAAGAATGTTTTCAGATCGCTCATTTGCTATAACGCTAGTGGTAGTATCGTTTTTTCCTATTTTTTTAGGTTTGTTATCGTTAATTATTGATTCATACTAAAGTATCTTTGTTCTTTGGTCTATCTATGATTTTGCGGTGGTCTTGTATGGTAACGGATTATTGTAGTTCTTATCCAACAAAGACACCTTTGGTTTGGTGACGGACGCATCGTTTTTCTTCAGTGTATAGGTACATTCTTTCCCAGTGGATTCATTTTTTTCGACAACCATATTTGTCGTTTTCATAATACATATCATTATGTCTGGTTTTACTTGAGACTTACTGATACAATCGTGTAATATGAGTAGTACGTTACTTATAGTTGTTTTTTTCAATTAAATTATATATATTTAAACAAGAGACAATATTATAATCACGTTGGTTTTCATAAAAATTAATATAAAATATCCAAGATTGATTTCCTAATATTATTTAATCCATTATTAAATATATTGCTTTAGATATGTAAAATATTATATATACATAGAATGTATAAATTGAAAATATAGAATACTCTATTTCATATTATACGGCTTAAATACAATTAATACTAAAAAAAGACAGCTGTAGATTTTCGCACTTATATTTGATTATAATATAAGATTTATACATTAAATGTATAGTTGTTACAACTATAAAATAAAAGCAAGCCTACGTGTTTTGATACCTGTAAATGTTTTTCTTAGTTATATAATTCCTAAATTCTTGATAACTAACACTATGCGTTATAACACGTACATTAAGATGTAGGATTTATTGAAATTATTGAGAGTTAAATTGATCCTTAAAAATACAGTCATTTTAATAAGAAGTTACATTATACGTCCAACAAATAATATCAGGAAATTGTCTATGCCGCGAAAATACCTTAGTTTATCCTATAATATTATTCCAAACTAAATATTTATTTACTTATTAATTTTCATATATAAACCATTTATTTATATATTTATTTATGAATATCAACATTGATTAATTTTTATTTTATTTTATAACTTTGTTAAAATTTAAAACAGTTGTTTGCAAAATCCTTTTAACATCAACACATTGAAAGTTTAATGTGTGTAAGAAAATCAATGTTTTCAACTCTCTGTCTATACAAAATTTTATTACATTTTTGTTTTAAAGTGTATATAATTTAAATCACTATAGAATCATGTATTGATTAAAATTAATTCAGGAAAATGATTAAATAGGTGTATGTTACTTTGGAGTAAAAGTGGTTTATACATTATTTAAGCAAGAAAATGTACAACCTAAATATTTTCCAAAAAATGTTTTTGTGTATGCCCCTGATTATTATTATGTATGTCTTATATTATTTTACCATACAGAAAATAATAACTATTTTAATATTTTAAAATTTATAATTGCATATTGAACTCGAACCTAAATGCATTAATTCTATTTAAAATTATTCATACATTGTATGTATTAATTTAGGGGCGTATTTTGACTTACTTCTAGGTGGGGGACTCACATTTTTTCTTTAATTCAAGCTCAAAATTTAAAAGTAAAACTGTTGGTAATATTTAAATCTGGTGAATCCTTAATATTTGTGATTTTTTTTTTTTAATCTAATATTGGATCTACTTAAAATCAACTCTTGTGTAGTTCTTTTATAACATCTATCTGTGTTTTAAAAGTTACGCTTGTGTTTTATTTGATTTTTCACTAAGTATGAACTCGACAAAAATTCAGTATTCACAGTCACGCGTAATTTGATTTCGTTATAAAATGATACACATTAAAAAAATTTGAAATGTGTATCTCACATATAATCGATTCCTTAAATAAGGATTCAGGGGAGGCAATCGCCCCCTTAGCCTCCCCTAAAATACGCCCCTGTAATAATTCAGGGTCTTGTTAACAAAGAGCATCAACGGAATGAACGATTTTCCATTTATTTTAAATGCATATACAAATAATAACAACTATAGCACATTTTGTCTTAGTGACATAGGCGGAAATTAGGGGAGGTTTGAGGAGTCTTAGCCCCCTCAAAATGTACAAATAGAAAAATTAGCCCCCTCAAATAATTGATCACTGCAGGTTACTGCAATAAATAATAATAAATATTAACTTTCAATTCAAATATTGTTGGAACGCGAATAAAACATTTAGAGAATATTATAGAAAAAAAAATAGGATGTGATATATTTTCTGATTTCATTGTCAAATGCCTAAGTCCATACAGAGGCACAGCATAATAAATATTTAAGAATCAATGTATATTAGTTTATTAGTACCTATATTGCACGCATAGAAAAATAAAGTCAGATAATTCCAACTTTTCATCGCGCCAGTGACTATTTTAATTTCAGTTTATAATAATTTGTACATATTATTTGCTTTGTCGACTTGTCGTACTTACAAAATGTCAAAAATATCAAAAAAATGGAACGGAGATTTAATTATAAAATTTTTCGAGCTCTACGAAAATCATCCGTGCTTATGGGATGTATTTTCAAAAACCTATAAAGATAGGATTGCGCGGGAAGATGCATATAGGGAAATTGGAAATGCTATGAACATAGATGGATTTGAATCGGCGGAAGTGAAAGCAAAAATAAGATCTTTGAGGAATGCTTATACTCTAGAATTAGCTAAAATTCAAAAAAGCAAGAAATCTGGAGCAGGAGTAGATGATACATATAAGCCAAATGTAAAATGGTTTCCTATTGCTCATCGAATTTTGCACCAAGTAGTACAAACGAGAGATTCACAATCAACTGAAATAAATGTAAGTATAATAAAATATAAAGGCTGTATATTACACAGTATTTTAATTTTATAAAATGTCAAATTTAAAGATTTTATTCATTATAATTATATTTTATTATAGTTTTAAACATTTTAATATTACTTCAAAATGATTTATTTGATTACTAAAAAAAAAAAATTGATAAAATTATTAAAATTATGATGAATTATTAATTTAAAATTTATCTTTAAATTGATAATACGAAAAATTAATTTAATATTATTTCTTTAGATTAAGCATATTAATTTGCCAGGGAACGGCTCCGTCTCCCATAAACCAATCAGCCAAATTATTTCTAATGTTTGAAGCATTTTTTGTATAATTGTTACTTTCACTAGCATTAGTCAAATCTGGTAATCCCAGTCCACGAATTTCTTTTCTCCATGTTCCTTTAATTATTACTCCATTTTCATGATCTTCTTCGTCAACACAACCTCGGTAAAGATATGAGGAAGAATTCATTCTTAACCAGTTGTGTAAAACACACGTTGTCTTCACAATACTGTCTGCCTTTTCAGGAGGCAATGCAATTGGTTTTTCAAATATTCTAAATCTAGAAACAAGAATACCAAATGCATTTTCAACGATGCGTCTAGCACGTGATAGTCTGTAATTGAACACTCTTTCTTTAATTGTCAATGGGCCGTGATGAGAATAGGGCTTCAATAGATACTCCTTAAGTGGAAATGCGTCATCTGCTATAAAAACTGTATTAGGTGGCATATTTAATAAATTATTTTCCACGGCATTCTTCAAACTAGATTTTGCAAAAACACCCCCATCAGATGACCTTCCATTAGCTCCAACATCTATATATTTAAAACAATATTGATCATCAACAAGTGCAAAAAAAATAATACTGAATGAGCCTTTATAATTGTAAAAGTTCGATCCAGAGTGAAACGGTGCTTTTAAGACTACATGTTTGCCATCCAGGGCTCCAACACAACCCGGAAAATTCCATCTAATTGAAAATCCTTTTTTTATACTATCCCATTCTTCTTGAGTATTCGGGACCTACAAAAAAATGTAATAAAAAATAATTAATCAATTAATTATTATTGTATAGTAAAATAATATTAATTTTTAATTTTCTTAATTCAGGGTCAAAAAAATGTTTTGAATGAAACTACGAAAGACTATGAGGATACAGACGACACGGAGTTCGGAAATGAGTCTAATAATATGGATAAAACGATCAATTTTCCTTCTCCAAGTCATACTCAAAATACCAAGAGATTAGCTTCAAAATTAAACATTGCACCAAAAAAATCAAAAACTTTTAATAAATCTTATATAAACAGCACAGAACGTGCTATACAACATCTTCGAGAAATATCGAGCAAGTTGGACGAAAAACCGGAGGAAAATGAATTTGACTTTTTCGGAAAAACTATAGCATGTATGTTGAAAAAAATACCAGAAACATTGGCTGTAGAATCGATGGTACATATTCAATCATACTTGGCTCAACAACGTTTAAAAAGCACAGTTAATCAAAATCATCAAACTTCTGCTATTAATGAAAATATAATGTTTTCACCATCAACATCAAATTACAATAGTTATTCTAGTCCATCTGCTACGGCTTCACCAATCAATACTTTTGAATACTCAAGTAATGAAAATTCTCAAAATACTCAATCGGATATTTTAGCGAGTGCAGTTACAAACATTTTACAGGAAGATATGTATTTGTTAAATGAGTAAAGTTATTTTATTTTCTTGTAATAAAATAATATTAAATATTATCATATAATTTTTAAAAGTTTATATCTATAAAATGAAGGTAGGTATTGTGTTAATTTTAAAATTTTTTATACATTTTGTATTTTAGTGAAAAATAAAATAAATTGTGTTAAAGATTATGTAACTAGGTACTTAATTTTATGTAATTTTCAAGCACACTGTATATAGAATCACACACTTCAGGAAAAAATTTTGATATCGTACATTTCGGTACTCTGTATAAGTATTGCAAAGAACCAAATGAGTCTCCAGATGCTAAATACCTTAATGTGATTTGGAGTTTTAATCTTGCTGGTAATGCGTCTCTCATTATTGTATTTTGTTTTTCTATTGATGGTGTAATATACTGCAGTAGGGTTTCAAAAAGGTCTGATGACATTCTTAAATGGTTTTTAAAAGAATCTGGATCTTCTATTGCAAGTTCTTTTAAAAGCATATCGGATGCTCCAAAATTTTGTCTTCTAGCAATCCACTTCCTTACCCAGACAGATCTTTTCTTTTTTTTACTCTTTTTTTCTAAATCTGATTTCATATCTTCAATCAAACATTTTAATACTATTTTACAAGCATGACGAAAATGTAATTTTTTTTCAGCCGACATTTTAATTAATTTAAAATATAATTGTAAGTATAATTAATATAAAATTTTTAATAATAATCGAAACACGGAACTACAATAGTTGTACAAATTTACAATGAATAAAATGAAATGGCGAGAGTTTGGTGAAATACTGTGTAAACAGTTACTGGCGATACATGTTTACTGGCGTACATGATGGCGCCACAAAAAACATGCACGTGTAAACCCAGCATTAATACAACATTTTTTATTATATAACTGTGCTATAGACTTATCCAAAAACTAATTTTGGTTCACGAAACCGAAGTTTTAACGATAAATACTATTCAAAATATGAATGGATTGAATATAGTATTGTGAATGATGCTATATCTTTTTTTTGCTGTCGGCATTATTCTACCGGAAAAAGTGTACAAGATGATGTGTTTACATTAACTGGGTTTAAAAATTGGAAAAAAGTATGTTTAACAAACTTAATGATAGGTAGTAGCATTGATTATAAATGCTATATTTATAATCAATGGTAGTTGGTACCTATACTTTTTGTATTATAATCTGACATGTTCAAAATATTGTATTATATACTCGATTGACTATTTAGTTAACTAGATCAAGAGGGAAAAAAAGGCAATAAGCAAAGTAAACTTGAAGCACATTCAACTTGTAAACACCATTTGACTTGCATGACTAAATGGGAACAACATGTTAAAACTAAGTCCTCAGGTAGCATTCATGAACAACTATCTTCAAGTCATAAATTGATTATTGAAAAGAAGAGAAAATATATAAAAACTCTTATTGAAATAACCTTATTTTTGAGCAAACAAGGACTGGCTTTCAGAGGACATGATGAATCTAAACTATCTTCAAATAAAAGTGAGTAGTATTATTTATTAACTACTGTGCAATAACATTTAATTATTTACTTATCATATAATCTCTATAAAAAGTCAAGTAATGACTTTTTTTGTTTATTCTATAAACAAATTATTAAATATTTAATATTAATTAATTAATTTTTAATATTTAATTTATTAAATAATAGACCCCAATGAACATATTTGTATGGTAGGCCATATTGTGTTCACAATTTGTAATACATATATGTATTCATATTTTATTAAATAGGAAATTTTAAAGAAACATGTGATTTACTGGCAAAAAATTGCCCTGAATTTGAAGAAAAGTATAGCAACTTGACTAATTTCACCAGTCATTTAATTCAAGATGAATTGGTAAACTTATCTGCAGAGAGCATTCGGTCCAAAATAACCAATGAAATAAAATGCAATAAAGTATTTGGAATTATGATTGATGAAGCAAGGTACCTACTACCTACTACCTAACATTTAAATATTTAAGAATAAATGATTCAATAGTAATAAATGCCAACTATTCACTATTTATACTTAATTTTAGATGTTTTAAAGAAGAACAAATATCTGTATGTGTTAGATACACTGTTGGTCTAAATGTTGTTGAACGTTTTCTGGGTTTTGTAGACGTTTCAGAAAATCAAAATGCAGATTCATTATGTGCTAAAATATTTGAATTCCTTACTGAGAACCAATTGGATAAATATCACATTGTGGCACAATCATATGATGGTGCCAGTGTCATGTCTGGCAAATTTAATGATGTTAAATCTAAAGTAAAAAACAAATTTCCTTATGCCATTTACACCCATTGCATGGCTCATCGGATGAACATTGTAGTTATTTATATGTGCAAAATTGTAAAGGTAATAAAATACAATACAATATTTTACTTTTTGGGAAAATTTTTGTTAAAATGTTTTTATTTTTTCTAAATCATTTTTATTTTTTAGGAATCTAGAATTGTTTTTAATACAATAGAATCATTGTATAAGCACTTTTCTCATCCTACTAAAAATAAAACTCTAGTTACTATGCAAAGAAGATTAGGAGTTAAAATATCAAAAATAAATTCTTTGAGTGATACAAGGTGGAATTGTAGATGGAAAAACTGTGAGTCAGTTGTATACAATTATTAAGCAATTATTGCAGTTTTGCAAGAAGAAATAGATAACCAACTGGACCGAAATGTAAATAAAGCTATAGGTATACTCATATCATTTTTAATTAAATATTAATACTATTGTCTAATTATAAGCACCGGGTTAATTTAATATGTTTTGAATATTTTTTTATAGGTATACTTTCAATAATGCAAAAAGGATCATTTGTTATTTTTCTATTCATTTTGCAACATGTATTATCTTCCATAAATATACTTAGCAACATGTGTCAAGAAAAAACTACTACATTGGGTAATGCAGGTAATCTAATAAACAGCGTAATACTAAGTTTTAAGAATGCTAGATCTACCATTGGCTTTAATGACTTGTGGTTAGACATAAAAACTTTTTGTGATGAAAATGATGTTAAACTGATCCTACCTTTTCAAACTCAAGGTCAGTATTGTGTTTGTGTACCTAATAAAAAATATTTGTTTAAATATTTATTTATTTAAATTAATATTATTTTTAAGCTTATTTAATATGTTTATTATTAGCATTTAAGCGAATGAGACGTGAACCCAATGTTTTTGAAGATTTCATTCTAACAACTACTACTGCCGCAGAATCATTTAATAGTACTGAAACAAATTGTGTAAATGGCTATTTTAAAATATTAGATTGTATAGTTGTAAATTTGAAGAAAAGGTTTTCAACTGAAAGTCTTCGAATGGCTGAAGCTGTAGACAATTTTATAAAATTAGATTTTAAAAAGAGTGAATTATTTATTAATCATTATAAGGTAATTTCATTATAAAAACTTGCTATCAAAATGTAATATTATTGAATTAATAAATGAAATGACATGTAGGATCAAAATTTTATATATTGTAAATTATTTTTATTCTATTTCTAATTAAATATAATTGTTTTTTTTTCTAGGATTTATTGGATGTAAAAAGTATAAGTGTTCAATCAGAAATGCATGTTGTGAAGAACTACTTACACTTATCAAATGGCAAAAGCAGTATTAATTTAGAAGCTTTGACTTCAGTACTTTCCAAAAATATATACCCTAACATGTCTAAGCTTATACAAGTTGCACTTACTCTTCCTATAAGTTCGTCAACGTGTGAACGTAATTTTTCTGCAATGAGAAGGATTAAAACATGGCTGAGGTCATTCATGGTACAGAATAGATTAAAAAATTTAGCTATAATTAGTATTGAGAAAGATATTTCTAAAAAAATTGATAAAGAAGCCATACTAAATTTATTTGCAAAAAAAAAAAATAGATACATTATTTTAAAATAAATATTTTTTAGTTTTATTATAAAGAGTTTTCATTGTTAAAATTCAAGTATATGTATGAGTATATCAGTATATGCATAGTATAGTAGTATATCTATCTAAAATAAATCACACTTAGGTTTTGCATGATATTTATAGGGTAATATAATTTTTTTTTTTTAGCTTTAATATGCAATAAAGTATTTTTAAATATTAGCCCCCTCTAAAATTATGGAGAATTTCCGCCTATGCTTAGTGACCTGTATTATTATGATCTGTATTCGGTACAAATTATGTTACGACCCGCTGCTGTATTCACCTTACCGTTCGTATAAGAAATAGAAATCAAACCCTCGTCACATATAAATTAGAAAGCCATTGGATTTCATATTCGTCTCGTTTCACGTCTGTTTTACCTATCTTCCCATTTTCTATCAATTGACTAGCAATTTGATCAGCTATTATTTGTGATGGCATTTTAGTCTGAATAATGTCGTTATTAAGTCGTTTAATCATGTTCAATGCTTTTCTGCTACTGTGTTTCATATCTGCTCCATTAATCCTGTCTCTCCATTTATTTCATTTGACAATATAATAGCTGTAATAGCTTTATATAACGTTTCTCCTTCTCAAATAGTTGCACTGCCAAAAGGGTTATTCTCGTAGAGTTTTTCGTATTTTCTTAGTTGTTTTTCCAGTTCCAGTGTTAGGCCCAGTACATAATATTCTTTGCAACCTCTCGGGATATGTTTTTTGCAGACGTTTTCACATGTTTAATAAGGAGTCTGTAGTTTTCTGGTTTTGAATTAATACTAAATATCTTTTAATCTAGAGCCTTTGCGAAATTTTTCCAGTTTGCTTTTTGAAAATTAAATCTTCGTTTGAAAGACACCTTTTTTGGATGTATTTCAGCCATTATTTTACATATGATAGGTCTATGTTGAGTATTAACTAATACTTAGGTATAGGCTATCCGATTTCTTTTGTACATAAGTGACTTATAGTGTCACTTGCGAAAATGAGGTCAGGATTATAGCCTCTTTTCCATCTTCCAATGTTGAAGGATGCCGGTAATTTCGGTTCATGAATTAAGGATAGATTTTCACCTTCAGC